TCGCTTCATTTTGTACCATGAGCTGTTACTACATCCACACCTGATGTTTATTTTCTGATACTGCTAAGATTTACACATGCAAAAATTGCACTCATTTATACATATGCATTATACGTATCCAGAGAGAGAACTACAATCATTCATTTTAAAATGCATTAATGTGGAATACACTAAAAAAACATTGTTTTGGCTCACTTGATTTTGTAATATCGTCTCAAAACAGGCATATCGGTATATGTACATGCCCAGCAGAAGGCCCGTGCTATTACTAGGTGTCTCCATGTCAACTCTGACTCACTAGACCTCCGCCTCACCCGGCACCACCCCCACCAGCAGTGCATGCTCATGGGTGCAGCCACTGTTGGCCACCCATCTTGTGGGGGGTCTTCTTTCCGCCCCTCTAAATTTTACAAGCATGATGTCTCTCCAGCGACCTCTCCCCACTAATAACATCACCAAAGTACATGAGATGAAGGCTCACCATCCTCAGTTCTAAGGAGCACGCAGGCTGTACTTTTTCCAAGACAAATTTGTTTGCTCTTCTAGCAGTCCATGACATATTCAATATTTTTCATCAATACTTTAATTCAAATGCAGAAATGTTTCTTGATCTTCCTTACTGACAGCTTTCACATGCACATGAGACATTTGAAAATCCCCTGGCTTGGGTCAGGCTCACCTTAATCCTCAAGGTTATATTTTTTGTATTTCAAAGCTTTCGAGAGGTCTTTTACAACAGATTTGCCCAGTACAATAAATCATTTGATTTCCTGACTGCCGCTCAATGAGTATTGATTGTAGATCCACGTAAAATTAAATCTTGCACAACTTCAGTCTTTTCTTCCTTTATCCTGATGTTGCTAGTTGATCTAGTTGTAAGGAATTTTGTTTTCATGTTGAGGTGTAATTCATACTGCACACTGTAGCTTTTGATCTTCATGAGTTAAATGCTTCAAGTTTTCTTCACTCTCAGCAAGCAAGGATCTGTGATAAAAGTTTGTTAATGGGTCCTCCTCCAATCGGGATGCTATATTTTTCTCCAGATATTCCGGCCTCTTGGATTATTTGCTCGGCGTACAGATTAGTAAGTATGATGAACGGACCTAGAGCCCTGACACAGACCTGTTCCATTTTCCACAATTAGTCTTGGTTATAATCCACACTGCCAAATAACTTTGCACACCAAATAAAACTCAGATAAGCATCTCTAGGGTGCCTTCAGCTTTGACCTTCAGCTAGTGGTTTCAAACTGTCGACCTTGCTGATTGCAGCCCAACCCATAACCACTGTACCACCAGGGCTTCCTCAAAAGCAAATAGTGACTCTCTATATTCCTCACATTTTCTTTTGATGCTTCCTGAGTTTTCAGTGTTTCACCCATAGAATCCTTCAATCGTGCAATTCAGTGCTTAACAATTTCCTTTCACTTTGAGAAATACCAATTGTATTCTTCCTTTGATTTTCTAACTCCATTCATTTTTAAATCGAAAATCAGACTCCATTTCATTACAATACTTTACTTTGTCGTTTTAACCTCCCGTTGTAATTTTCGGTGGAGTTCTTTTACGCCATCATTTCTCTGTTCACTTGACTTAATCTGCATTTAAGGGAAAGTTTCAAAGTCTCCTCTCATATCCATTTTGTTCTTATCTTTCATTCCTGTCTTTTTACAGGACCTTTTGCTTTCTTCATGTATACTGTCCTTGATGTCATCCCACAATGCCTCTGATTTTCTGTCACTGGTGTTCAGTGAGTCAGGTCTATTCTTGAGATGGTCTCTACATAAGATGGGATAGAGTCAAGGTTGTACTTTGGCGTAGTTGTGATTAATGGTGTTTGTAATCATGCAAACACACAGAGAAAGCATTGTATATGCTTATTACAATTTACTACAGAAAAGTGTATGTATTGTCTATGTAATTTTTTAATATTTTGAAATACTACATAGCTTTAAGTAATAGTGTGTATGTGCACACACACAAGCGTACATTCAACCAAGTATGCAGCATTAAGAATGGGCTTTGGTCAATCAGATCTATCTAGATGCTCCTGACCATCTGGCAGAATAATTAAGTTTACAGGATTGAGCATCAGATTCAGACTCACAGTTACCCTATAGGGTGGAGTATAATTACCCCATGGGGTTTTCAAGGCTGTGAATCTTCACAGAAGCAGATTTCCGCATCATTCTCCACATGACCTTTTAGTAAGTTGGTCATTTCACTCCTGAGCCATCAGAGCTGCCTTTTGTATGGTCTACCTCGGTATTCTTGTGTCGATTAAATGGTAATGCGTGCGAAGTCTTACAAACAACAGGCAAATGGTAGCTAAAACAAACCAGTTTTGTCTCTGATTATTGGTCTACTTTTTATTCAGCTCCTCTAGAAGATAAAGGTGCAGAGCATGTGTCAAAGTGAGATCATGCTTCCCATCTAAGAATAGATCTTCAGAATCTAAGATTAGATGCTATCTAAGAATAGATCTTCAGAATCTAAGATTAGGTGCTATCTAAGAATGTCTTTTGTTGAGATGATGCCTTCAACTGAAACTCTTTATCTGTGACCCTTTCATGGTTTGCAAATTGTAATGTACAACTGTTGGCTTGTCGTGGTTCTATTGTTGTTCTTTCACCCCAGTGATGGTTGCTTTCCAGGCATGTGATTAGGTTTATCAATATGTATTTTCCAGGACCTTGACGTGCTGCATAAAGAGCATGGCGGAGGCCATGATGGCCCAAGTTATTTTGGAAATGTCCAAAGGCTCTGCCTGCCTGCCTCTAGTTTCTTACAGTCATAATTCCTTTGGTAAACGAGGACAGAGATGCAGAGATGTGCATCATTTTTTGTTTGTTTGTTTTCTCTCACATCAATGTCTTTAGCACCTATTGGAGTAATGGGCACACGATACGTACCAATTAACACAGCATAGTATTTCTTAATCTAAACTCATTTATTCACTCTCAAATGTTTATCAAAGTCACTGATTTTGTTTAGTCTCCATTTGCTTTTGTGTAACTCTTTCCCAAAAGATGCCTGATGCTTCCGGTAAATTGAAGAGTTTGTTGTTATCGGAAACTTCTCCTCCTTCTTTCATTTATATCCATACGGTTGCTATTTTCTTTCCCTGTCAAATCTTGTGCCCTAACTTCTTCCATTAGAAACTCCACCCATCCATGAGACCGTTCACCTACCATATCTAGTCTATCCCTGTACCTCCACAGTCTCTCCTGAAAATCTCACTAGCTTTATTTTCTATCTTTCCTGTCTCAATCCTTTCTCCCCCCCTCAGTTATTTATATATTATGTCTCTTTTCAAACAGGAACCTTGTCTGCTTTACCTTTTTGCCCTCCATAGCAGGCAGGTCGCATCTATTTGACAATAGTAAATATCGAAGGAGGACTTAGTGCTGCATTCCGGCCTCAGTGACACGCTGTTTTCACAGAAATGTGAGCGGTGGTCTCATTCTGTGTTCACTGTTCATAGTTGTGAAATGAAGAGTTAAAAACATCCATATTTTAAGCAGCATAGTGTTGCAAACAGGCAATGTGCTTCGTCCTCAATATACTGAACTAAAACCCAGTCCATGTGACTCTAGGGCAGGACTTCCCCTCTCAAGAGTCTTGTTTTCCTTATTTGAAAGTAGGAATGTTAGCGCCAGCCATTGCTTAGAGAAATGCATGAGAAAAGATAGGGGGAAACCCTTAGCAGAAGCGACTGTAGAAGTTATCAAAAACATGTGAGTTTTCTCTCCTCCTTCTAGGGAAGCTACGTAGCTCAGGAAAAGCCACAATAGTGGTATTTATTTATTTATTGGCTTTAGCCCCAGCTCCATCAGTCTGCTTTGAAGAGGCCAATCAAATGATCACAGTGGGTGACCATGGCAAGCTGTGTGTCTCCCTTGCCTCCTTCTTCTAGAACAGCGGTTTTCAACCTGTGGGCCGAGACCCCTTCAGGGGTTGAATGATCCTTTCACAAGGGTTGCCTAAGGCCATCAGAAAACACGTATTTCCGATGGTTTTAGGAACCGAGACACCGCTCCTCTATCTGTCTCCAGGCGGGCCCGCCCACATGCAGACAAGCTGATCTGGTGAGAAAGAAGCTATCTCAACCTTCACACTGACGTTGGCTTTTTACGCCTACTGTCGCAAAATGTAGCAATGTAGTTTACTGTTGTCATATTAAGACTCTTATTACCCATGATATACCATGCTTCCAGACAAAATTTCATTTATTTGTCATTAGAAATAAATATTTCACAATATATAGTTACATATTGTTGTGATGAATCATGATGCTTTAATTATGTTCAATTTATAGTAATGAAAATACATCCTGCATATCAGATACTTACATGATGATTCATAACAGTAGCAAAATGACAGTAATGAAGTATCAACGAAAACAATTTTATGGTTGGGGGTCACCACAGCATGAGGAACTGTATTTTATGGTTGGGGGTCACCACCACATGAGGAACTGTATTTTATGGTTGGGGGTCACCACCACATGAGGAACTGTATTTTA